CCTTATGAAATCGCTCGCCTCCCAATGATTCCGTTCGAACTCCGTGCTCCAACGCGACTCACTGCGTCCCTGTTGATCCGCTGTCGCTTCCGAACGCGTCTCCGTCGATCCTCAATTCACTGTGCCACTGTCGATCCTCATACCTGGCAAATTTCTAATATTTCTGCTACCGTTCACCGCAATGCTACAACATGACCGGCGTGTGTGACTTTCAGGTGGTGGTTCGGGAATAGGATTGGAGATCGCGAGGCAGTTCGGCAGGCACGGCGCTAGGCTCGCGATCATGGGCCGGAGGGAGGCGGTGCTACGAGCAGCAGCGGACGAACTGGCGAAGGAAGGAATTGAGGTAACCAGCTGTGTGATCCAATCTCATATTTGTGAGCCCTGCCGAAGCTCCTAGGTTCGCTTCTGGTGATGGGTGGGAGGGAGGCTGTGAGGTGCTGCGAGCAGCAGCAGACGAACTGGCGAAGGAAGGAATCGGGGTAACTAGCTATGGCTTTATATTCTCGAGGCGTTTGGGAGTTAGACTCGCTTTTAGGCGCCATGACGAGCAGCAACAGGCAAATTTCCGCCTCCCTCCGACCAAGGGAAAGAATAGCGTTAGCCAGCTACGAAAGCTGCTCGCATTTGTTTGAGGCATGTAAGGACCAGGCTTGTTCGCAGGTGTGGGTTCAAGAAAGGAGGGCGTTCAGAGCGCGATGGCTTGTTCTCATAGATGGCTCAGGCTCAGCTGCTCACCTGTCTACCGTCCCCCTTTTCTCAGGCCTTGCCTGTCATGGGCGATGTGCGGCGAAAAGAAGATGCACACAGTGCCGTGGCTGCTGCTGTGGAGAGGAGCGATACGGCCGGCTAAACGTTCTAATCATTGGCGTCTGGGAACTTTCTCTTGTTCGTGTGACTACCCACGCTCCAGGCCTTGCCTGTCATGGGCGATGTGCGGCGAAAAGAAGATGCACACAGTGCCGTGGCCGCTACTGTGGAGAGATACGGCCTCCTTAAAACACTCCTAACGTCCCCTTGTTGGTCCGACCGACCACTTCTCATCTCAGGCCTTGCCTGTCATGGGCGATGTGAGGAGGAAGGAGGACGCACACAGTGCTGTGGCTGCTGCTGTGGAGAGATACGGTCGGCTAGACGTTCTAATTAATGGCGCTGCTGGAAACTTCCTGGCAGCTGCGGAAGACCTCTCTGTGAACGGCTTCCGAACAGGTAGGCAGGCTTAGCGGCTTGAAGAGGTGCAGAGAGGTGCAGAGAGGCATCGAGAGGCATAAAGAAGGGGCAGGGAGGGGCAGGGCAGGGGGACGCAGCGAGGGCACAGAGCCGTGAAGAGGCGAACAGGGGCGAATAGAGTTCGCTTTTGAGTCGACTCAAAAGTCCACTCGAAGGGCAGGGAAGGGCAGGGGGACGCAGAGAGGGCATAGAGCCGTGAACAGTCTGCTTTTGAGTCGACTCAAAAGCAGAGGCATCGAGAGGCGTAATGCAAAGAAGGGCAGGGAAGGTCAGGGGGACGCAGAGAGAGAGGGCACAGAGCCGTGAAGAGGCGAACAGAGGCGAATAGAGAGCGTTGTTTCAAGTTCGACCCTTCCTGGGGGCACGTGGCAGGGCGGAGGAGGAGGGTGGCGGATCTATTATAAACATCAGCCCCCCCCATCAGCTCCATGTTTTTCTATGGCTTACCCCTCCCAGTGCTTGACATTGACGCAGTGGGCACGTTCAACATGTGCCTGGCTGCTAGACCGTTCCTGCCACATCAACCTCCTGTGCTTCTCATTCCCTTCCTGTATCTCCCCGCCTCCCAGTGCTTGACATTGACGCAGTGGGCACGTTCAACATGCGCCTGGCAACCCCAACCCCAACCGCCCTCGTTTGCCCGACATATCTCCCGATTTTTCCCTAATGCTGCTTCTCCACTCTCCCAGTCCTCGACATAGATGCTGTGGGCACGTTCAACATGAGTCTGGCTGCTAGACCGTTCCTGCCACCTACCCACCCTCCTTTTTCCTTCCTCTCCTGCTCTACTCATTCCCTTCACCCTCCCAGTCCTTGACATAGATGCTGTGGGCACATTCAACATGTGCCTGGCTGCTCGGCCCTTCCTGCAGAGGGGGGCGCGTGGCAGGGCGGAGGAGGAGGGAGGCGGATCCATCATCAACATCAGCGCTACTCTGCACTACACTGCGGCTTGGTACCAAGTGCACGTCATGGCTGCTAAGGTGAGACAGCGGTATGGTGAGACAGGGGTATGGTGAGACAGGGGTATGGTGGGATGGGGTACGGTGGGAGTGGAGTGGGATAAGGTGGGAGTGGGGCAAGGTGTGAGTGGGTGTGAGTGCAGGAGCTTTCCCTACCGTACGTACTCTGCACTACACTGCGGCTTGGTACCAAGTGCACGTCATGGCGGCTAAGGTGAGAATGGCATGGGGTAAGGTGAGAGTGGTTGTGGGAGTGCTACGTTTGATGTGCGCTTGCCTTCCAAGTGCGACTCATAATGCTGTGGGCGGAGGAGGTCTCATAATGCATGTTGATTGACTCCTTCTTCTCTCACCCCTCATCTCAGGCTGCAGTGGATGCCACCACGCACTCCCTAGCCCTGGAGTGGGCCACAGCCTATGGCATCAAAACGGACCCTGTTTCGAGGCTCCCTGCAAGCAGCCCCCAGCCACCCATCTCTCACTTCCCTGCTCCATCTCCTTCTCCTTGACACCCCTCACCCCAGGCTGCAGTGGATGCCACCACGCGCTCCTTAGCCCTGGAGTGGGCAACCGACTACGGCATCCGAACCAACGCAATAGCTCCGGGGCCGATAGGTTCGACGCCAGGCATGGCGAAGCTGGCGCCTTCAGAGCTGGGCATCGATGCGGGGGAGCTCAACCCCATGCAGAGGATGGGGGACGCCTGGGACATTGCCATGGCTGCTCTCTACCTCTCAGCAGACACTGGTGGGTGGCATTCTCTCAGCAACAGACAAGAGAAGTAGTTGAGCGCGGCAAGCAGGCTGTGTGAAAATACGTCATTGGTGCGAATAGTTCCATCTCAACCTCGCGTCTCCCCTACCCTTCCGCCACCCCCGTGTACCGAGGTGGCTGTATCGGCCTAAGCCCTCTCCCCCTTCCCCTTTCACCTTCTCCACCCTCGCTCTCTTCCCCCCTTGCACCTGCCAGGGAAGTATGTGAACGGAGCAACGCTGGTGGTGGACGGAGGGGGCTGGCTGTATCGGCAGCGTGTGTTTGACAAGGAGGTCATTCCTCCCCCCCTCTCCCCCCCCTCCCCCCTTCTCTGTCCCTCCTCTCCTCCTTGCACCTGCCAGGGAAGTATGTGAACGGGGCGACACTGGTGGTGGATGGAGGGGGCTGGCTGTACCGGCCGCGTGTTTTTGACAAGGAGGTCATCCGGGAGGTGTCTCGTGCCGTGGAGCGCCGATCCAGACAGGCTGCATCTGGGGCTGGCGCATCTAGGGCAGGCGCATCTGGTTCTGCTTCTTCCCAGGGTCAACACAAGAGCAAGCTTTGAAATCAGAACTTATCAGTCTCTGCTGGAGGTTATTTGGTTGCATAGAACCAAGACTTGAAGCGGTTGAGAGGTTTCTAATTCTTAGGTGGAGGAAAGAGACCTAGGTTTTGTGGCCTGTAAATTAGAGTGGAGATTAGAGGCAGTTGGAAAGGCAGGCTACTTCAGGTTCACGATCACAGCTTTTCAAATTCCTTTTTATTAATAATCTCTACACTTGAAAGCAAGGAAACTTCGCGCACTTTTGAGAGGGTGCCATCGTCACCTTCGGTTCGGAGAACGAAACGTAGGCCTAGCGCAAGCGGGTTGGCGGAATTGTTGTGCAGTTGTCAGAACCTAGGAACTGTCAGCATGTCATCTCGCGCCGCTGGTACCGTTCTTTTCGGCATTCTCTAGGACCTCGTTTCATTCATGGCTTGGTGTCCGTTGGGCCTCAACCCGCGACATTCCTACCATTGTTTTTGTTATTGAAACCGCTCTGCACCAGACCGAATTGCCGTTGTTTGCGAATTTCACATGGTTTCATCATTCCCCGTGAGACAAAATGCTGTACCGAATGTCAAGCAGGAGAACACAGTCAGTGCTTGCAGCACGATAGTTTTTTAGAACGCATCTCCATTAGTCAACAAAAAAAATGACATGATAGGTATTGTGCACTTTTTTGCCACTCAATGTGTCAGACTGCACGTCGAGAATAAAGTCTCCGCATGTTCCGATGTGTTCTCCATGGAGACGATAAAAACTTGTACCTAGACCTGTACGGTAGTTATTCAGGCTGATCGTAGGCCGTTAGCGAAACCTCGCGTCGATAGTACCATGGTGACGCGCTATCGTCACGACTCTGAGGAACGGCTCTCCGTTCTTGCAACCCCTCGCTAAGCAGATCAGCCACTCATGCCACGTGGCACGAACGGTCCCGATGGATCGAGAAGCTTAAACGTCAATGCCGTCACTCCAGACGGAGCGAATGACGCCAGAATGACGACGAGACCTTCTGGCGCCATGGCAGCGACTCTCCAGATCCTCATTCTCGCGTCGCTCGCCCTTCTCAGGCCTTGCTGGCTCTACTCTCCCTACATTCTCGCGTGCTGCTGGTGGCTCGCGACTCGACCCCAGCTGTTGCACCTACGGCCCTTCAGGTTACATCCTCCCTCTCGCGTCGCTCGCCCTTCTCCAGCCTTGCTGGCTCTATTCTCCCTACATTCTCTCCTGCTGCTGGTGGCTCGCGACTCGACCCCAGCTGTTGCACCTACGTCCATTCAGGTGAAATGATCCGCGCATTCGTTCCTTTGAGTCGCCTTAGTATTGTTCTTATCAAGTTTTGAGACATCGCACCTGCACGTGATCATCACACTCGTTCTCTTCTAGCCCCCTCTCTGTCCCACACTTCGCCTTTCTCTCTTCCTTTCCCCTTATCTCCCCTTCTCGCCTCCCCGTCCTCTTCTCCCCTTCTCCTCTCCCCATCCCCTACTCCCCTTTTCCCCATGTCCCAGGCGCCATGCTCTGTTGCGTGCATACATTGCTATGCACAGCACATCCTCGCGCTCTTCCTCTGTCCCACACTTAACCTTCTTCTCTACCACTCTGCACTCCCTTCCCCTTCCCCTTCAGGCGCCGTGCTCTGTTGCGCGCCTACATTGCTCTACACATCCTCTTCCTCTTCCTCTTCCATCTGCCTCTCTCACAACGCTGGTGGCCCTTCGAGCAGTGGGGCCAGACACTTGGCCTCTTCCGATTGGACGTGAGGGAGATTCTGGATCCGCGGCAATTGCTGCATGTGCTGGAAACGGCTCTCCTGCTCTCCGCCTTCGCACTGGTGAGTGTGCGTGCGTGCATGCGTGCGTGTGTGTGTGTGCGTGCGTGTGTGTGTGTGCGTGTGTGTGTGTGTGTGTGTGTGTGCGCGCGCGCGCGCGTGTGTGTGTGCGTGCGAACGTGCGTGCGTGCGGGCGTGTGTGTGTGTGTGTGTGTGTGTGTGAGTGTGTGTGTGTGTGTGCGCGCGCGCGCGCGCACGTGTGTGCGTGCGTGCGTGCGTGTGTGCGTGCGTGCGTGCGTGCGTCCGTGCGTGTGTGTGTGTGTGTGTGTGTGTGTCTGTGTGTGGGTGTCTGGTTGTGTGTGTCTGGGGGGTCTCTGTGTGTTAATCCATATCGTCTGACTTGCTCCTCACTGCCAAGCTCTCCTCTCTCTTCAGCTCCTCTCTGTGACTCATTCTCTCGGACTTTGTTCTTCCCTCTCCCTTCTCCCCTCTCCCCTCTCCAACCTCTCCCACACACCAGCTGTCTTCCCATCGCTCCCTCGCTTCCTCCCATCATTCTTCCCGCACTCGGCCCTCCTCCCGCCTACCCACGTCCCAAGCTCCGCGCCCTCACCTGCACCCAAACCCCGGATCCTTCCCTCAACGTTCATCTCAAGCCTCCGCCTGGCTCGGGCCGAGCCTGCCTCTTCTAGCTTCGGAAGCATCCCAGATTCTGTATCAGGTGATAGAGGAGGAGGAGGAGGAGGAGGAGGAGGAGGAGAAGGAGGGGGAGGGCGGGGATGCGGTTGGGGAGGAGGAGGGGGAGGAGGGGGAGGAGGAGGAGGGCGGGGAAGGGGAATGGGAGCTGGAGCAACAGGAGGAGGTAGTTGCAAGAGCGCTAGCAGCTAGAGTGAGAGGGACAAGTATGGCAGGCGTGCAGTGGAGAGGGGGGGCACAGGCGAGGGGAGGGGTTGAGAACAGGGAGCAGCAGCGAGGAAAGAAAGGGGGGGATTGGAGCGGAGAGAGGGATGTGCCACTGAGGCAACTGGGAGCAGGCGGTGCGTCGAGAGGAGAGGAGTTGGTGGGGGGAGGAGGTGCAGATGCGGAAGATGATGACAATGGGAAGAGGCTCAGACGCCAGTGTACTGCCTTGTCATGGTGAGAGAAGCTCATTCTTCTGCCTCTCATTGTCTGCCTTGTTGTCCTGAGCTCTCTTTTCTGGCTCAAAAGTAGGGGAGCTGGTGGGAGAAGGTGCAGGTGTTGAGGATGGCAATGGGAAGGAAGAGATTTAGGCGCCAGCTTACTGTCATGTTATCGTGGGCCCCCTCTCTGCCTTGTCGTGCTGAGCTATTGCATATCCTCTATCTATTTCTTCTGCATGCCTCTGACTGTCAATGCCTCTTGCATCCCTGCTTTCCCCACACAACCAACTCCACCACTCTCAACCCCATTTTACCCCCCCCCCCCCCCAGGTCACCCGCATCTCTCCGCCTCTGTGCCACCCTGGTAGTTTTCGGGCCTGCAATCTGCACGGCATCGCTTGTCTTCTTCTGCCTCTCCTTTCACTGCCTCCTCGCGTGGCCCCTCCTCTCCTCCCTCTTGCTCCTCCTCGGTTCCTCCCCCTCCACCACCACTCTCTGCAACACCCATCGCTGCCTCGTTTTCTATCTCCTCGCATGGCTTATAGCATCCTACCTCGTGAATATCACTCCTGCTCCACTCCTTCCGCTTGTAAGTCACTGGTAGACCTTTCATTATCCTGTCAACTTGCCCCTTTGTTGCTCTAAGAAGCTGCTTCCTGCTCTATCTGCTCGTGTGGCTTATAGGCAATCTTCCTCGTTAATATCACACCTGTTCCATTTGTTTCTGTGAAGTCAAAAGTAAATTCTCTCGTAAACCTGCACTTTGTTGCTCTGTGAGGCTGCCTCTTCATCTCTTCCCGCTCCCTCCCTCGTGCCTCTCTCCACTCTTCCCTGTCTTCCTCCCTCCTGTCCTCCAGGCCACCACCTGTCAGGCCATTGCCCTAAAACAACAAGAGTTGATGGAAATAAGGCATTTGCAGCACACCTGTCTGCTTCTGACAGCTCTTCCCTGTCTTCCCCCCTCCTGCCTGTCCCCCAGGCCACCATCTGTCAAACCATTGGTCTGCTTCGCTTCCCCAATCCACCCCTCCCCCTCGCTCTTCACTTCACCACAGCACTCCTCCTCACAGCCTACGTCTTTGCCTGCACCGCCGCCCTCGCCTCTTCTCCCTCCTCCTCTGCCTCTACTGCCCCCTCTTCCTCCTCCTCTGCCTCTATCACTTCCTCCTCTTCCTCCTCTGCTGTCGCTGCTCCTGCCGCCTCTTCATCTTCTGCGGCTGCTTCTGCTGATGCCGCTGCTGCGGCTGAGGCTGGAGGCACTGACAGGGGTGGGGGTACAAGAGGGAACAACGGGGAAACGATGCCAGAGCCAGCAGCAGTGCAGGGCAGCAGCGAGCTGGCAGCGGCAGGGCACGATGGGTGGCTGTGCTTCGTAGTGTCCTTCTCCCTCTGGGCTGCCCGTCTGCTCGCCTTCTCTGCCTTTGTCCTCCTCGTGCTCGTTCATGCAGCAGACAAGCTAGCCCTGCTGCGCGCCCCCTATGGTATGTACTCCTGGAGTGCAGTTTCATTCATATGGTACCCACTACTAGCTCTGCCTTTGTCCTCCTCGTGCTCGTTCATGCAGCAGACAAGCTAGCCCTGCTGCGCGCCCCCTATGGTATGTACTCCTGGAGTGCATTTTCATTCATATGGTACCCACTACTAGCTCTGCCTTTGTCCTCTCGTGCTCGTTCATGCCGCCGACAAGCTCGCCCTGCTGCTGGTCTACCCCTCACGAGCCCATGCCGTGTGCTCAGCCTGCTTCTCCTACTCCTCAACAAGCTCTTATCCTCCCTCCCTGCCCACACACTTCCCCCCCATCTCTATGTTCTGCTTTCTCAACAGTGCTGCTGCTGTTGCTGCTCCTGATATACCCCTCACGAGCCCATGCCGTGTACTCAGCCTGCTGCATCTCCTACTTCTAATCAATCTCTTACCCACTTTCCCTCCCTGCAAAATCTTACAACTCCCCATCTGTGTGAACTACTGTTTTGCTGTCATGACAGTGTTGCTGCTGGTGCTGCTGCTGGTCTATCCCTCACGAGCGCACTCTCTGTGTACTCCGCCTGCATCGCTTACTCCTCAACAATCTCCCCTCCCTCCCTACCCCCCTCGTGTGTGTATGTACTGCTGTGCTCTCGTGACCTGGCAGTGTTGCTGCTGGTGCTGCTGCTGGTGTACCCCTCACGAGCACACGCCGTCTACTCAACCTGCATCTCCTACTCCCAATCAATCTCTTACCCACTTTCCCTCCCTGCAAAACCTTACAACCCCCCATGTGTACTTCTGTGCTCTCGTGACAGTGCTGCTGCTGGTGCTGCTGCTTGTGTACCCTTCACGAGCGCAAGCCGTGTACTCAGCCTGCATCGCTTACTCCTCATTGCACCTGCTACTGCTCTTCGTTGCTACTGACCCTGCCATTGCGCATCTCCCTCTGCCGCCCTACTGGAAGGCTCTGCTCTCACTCCTCGGTAAGTCTCTCTTCACATCTATTCCTAGCACGTGCTGCTGCTTGTCGCGTCTCTATGCTGACCTTTCTTCTTCAAGAAACACCTATTTCCCTGCTCTTCTCCATTTCCCAGCCGGCCCCTCCTCCCCCCATCCCCAGGCATCCCCCCTGCCCTATGGCATGGCCCGCGCCCGCTCCTCCCTGGACGCCACGCGCTCCCTCCCCCACCGCCCCTTCCCGTGGCCGCTGCTCGAGCTAGCTGCCTCCTGCCCTTGCCTTTCTGACGTCTCTGGAATCACCTTTCTCCTTGCTCTTCTTCCTCCTTCCCCCCATCCCCAGGCATCCCCCCTGCCGTAACTCCACAGGCCATCACGCCCCCAGCAGGCATCCTACTGCTCGCCTACGCCATGGCTCGCGCCCGCTTCTCCCTGCGGCTATCCTGCCGTCTTACCAGTCCATTCTGTGCCTTCCCTTCTTCCCGCCTTCTCCATCCCCAGGCATTCCCCTCGCCCTGACCCCCCAGGCCATCACGCCCCCAGCAGGCATCCTTTTTCTTGCCTACGCCATGGCTCACGCCCACTCCTCCCTGCAACTCTCCCTCTCTGCCACGCGCTCCCTCCCCCACCGCCCCTTCCCGTGGCCGCTGCTCGAGCTAGCTGCTTCTTACCCTTGCCTTTCTGACGTTTCTGGAATCACCTTCCTCCCTTCTCTTTCCTTCCCCACCCCCCACTCCCCGCCCCGCCCCGCCTCCCCTTCCGCCCAGGCATCCCAGCCACTCTAACCCCCCAGGCCATCACCCCCCCAGCAGGCATCCTCTTTCTCGCCTACGCCATGGCTCGCGCCCGCTCCTCCCTGCAACTCTCCCTCTCCGCCACACGCTCTCTCCCCCACCGCCCCTTCCCGTGGCCGCTGCTCGAGCTAGCTGCCTCTTGCCCGCCTCCCATGGCTGCGGCTCTTCAGTTAAAGCCGCACCCGGACAGTCTCCTCCTGCCGCCCTCCAAAGGCCCTCCCTGTACGTGTGTGTGTGTGTGTGTGTGTGTGTGTGTGTGGCGGCACAAGTGCGGCCTGTGCTGTGCTGTGAGTTGTGTTGTGGGTAGCTAGTTGCATGCTGCCCTCCTCCCATGGCTGCGGCTCTTCAGTTAAAGCCGCACCCGGAGAGTCTCCTCCTGCCGCCCTCCAAAAACCCTCCCTGTAAGTCTGGTGGCATGCGCAGGCTGTGATATAAAGTTTGTTGTTTCTGTTAAGTGCTATAATTGCGTTAAGTGCATATCCTCCTGCCTTGGCCCACACCGCTCCGCGTCATCGTCACCGCTTTTTCCCGAAGCGCCTCATATGTAATCCTCACATTCTCTATCCCCCGCGCTTCTGTTGGTTTGTTCTGCTTGCTTGCCTGCAGGGCTGTACCTCTGCTTGGCGTCCCCCTCCCTCTGCCTTGGCAACAGAGTCTATTTCAAATGTGGCTTAGAAACGATATCTTTGTCTTCAAATTCCCACACCTTCCTCTCGCCTTGTGCAGGGCCGTATCTCTGCTTGGCATACCCCTCTGCCCTGGCAACAGAGGCCAGAACCTACTTCATCCTCACCACATGTCTTTGACGCGCCTACAAAAGAATCCTTTCATTTCCAATCCCCATGCTTTCTTTGGTTTCTCCTGCTTGCCTTGCCTGCAGGGCCGTACCTCTGGTTGACGTACCCCTCTGCCCTGGCAACAGAGGCCAGAACCTACTTCATCCTCACCCTGCTTCCAACCTATCTCCTCCCCTTTTCCATCCTTCATTCTGCTTGCCTGCAGGGCCGTACCTCTGCTTGGCATACCCCTCTGCCCTTGCAACAGAGGCCAACACCTACTTCATCCTCACCGCATTCTTCACCATCTTAACCCATATGCACCCATCCGCTGTCTCCCTCGGTTTCCTCCTCCTCCTCATCGCCTGGGTCTGGCTCTTCCTCTGGCCCTCCTCCTCCCGAACCTCCTCCCGATCCTCCTCCCAAACCTCTTCTTCCCGACTCTCCCTCCTCACCTCCTCCCATGCTGAAATATCCTCCTCTGTTTTTCACTTCTCCCGAACCTCCGCTTTTCGAACCTCCGTGCCAGCGCTCCGAGCCTACATGGCACCACTGACTGCCTCGTTTGCAGCTACAGTGCTCCTGCTTCGGTACTGTAGCCTGTACCCCGAGCTTCGATCCGTCTTAGCCGCCCAGTTTGGGATCGACTTGTCTGTTCTGGAACGGCTAGGGCTGTTTGCCCCCCTGGGCACCCCTGTCCACGTGGCAACTGCTGATTGCGCCACGTTGCTGATTTGCCTTCGCGCTTACTTCTGCTTTGAGGCTTTTCCACATGTGCAGCAGCAGGGGCAGCAGCAGAGGCAGCAGGGGCAGCAAGGCCAGCAGCAGCAGCAGCAGGACATTTCTCAAGGAGAACCAACCAGTCAGCAGGGGAGGCAGGACTCTGGTGCACAGGCAGCAGCAGCAGCAGCAGCGTCACATGCCACAGTCCCCCTCCTCTCTGCCCCTCCCTCTCGAAAGCTCCATCTAAGTGCAAAGGGCTCGAAATCCTTTCACTTCCCGCCTGCTGCTGGTGCTGCCGCCGGTGGCAGTTCTGCAGTTGACGCTGCTATTGCAGCAACAGCAGGAGGAGCAGCTTCGGCACCCGAACCGGTCGCCGAACCTGCAGGGCCGGCAGCAGCAGGGGTAACCAGCACTCCGCCCCCCGTCATCTCCTGGTCTCACGAACAATACCCCCTTATAGGCTTCTTCGGCTGGGTGTCCTTTTTCAAACGTCTGCTCATTCTACACTGCCCTACCGCCCTCCCCTGCGCGGCGTTTTTCGCTGCCCTGTACCCTGTCAGTGCGATAGGGTTTGGGTTCCTGCTGCTGGCGGTGCTGGGGTGTGTGAGGCTGCGGGCTGTGAGGGGCACGGCGCCGAGATGGATGTTCTTATATGGAGGGGCGGCGCTGGTTGCGGAGTTTGGGTTTCAGGTGGTGGTGGCGCAGTGGGGGCTTGCTGCATGGGTGGAACAGCACAGCACAATGCTACAGGTGAGGAGCAGAGACTGCAGGGTTCAGGGCGCTATTTGTCAGGTAAGTTTTACTGGCCGGACTTGGCAGAGAGCTGGGAGGGAGGGTTGGAGGGGCGGCGATGGTGGTGGAGTTTGGGTTTCATGTGGTGGTGGCGCAGTGGGGGCTGGCAGCATGGGTGGAACAACATAGTGCGATTCTGCAGGTAAGTGGATGGGTGGCAGAGTTTGTGGGGCTTAAAGCCAGGATCTCAAGTAAGAGAATTGGCCTTCAATTGCAAAACACTTGCAGCGCTTGTTACCCTATTTTTGTAGGCGAATTGACTGGCTGGTTAGGAAAGTGAGCGTGCGGCACACCCACGATTTTGCCCCTAGAGCAAATGCAAAACATTTTGCTGGTACATGAGATTGTTGTGTGTGACGAGAAATTGCAGGCATTGGAGCTTCGTCACCGAACCAGTTTCCGAGCTTTGCTTGGTTCGGACTGAACTTGCGATTTGTCTTTACTTCGCACCCCTCGCTTCACACCTCGTCAGATTGTTCACCTCGCTAACCAATCGCAGCCCAGCTCCCCTCACCAACTGCAAAACAATTGAACTACTTGAGATCCTGGCTTTAAGGTGTAGCTCTCAGGGGTTCAATGGGAGGTTGGGTTCCAGGTGGTGGTGGCGCAGTGGGGGCTGGCGGCATGGGTGGAAGAGCACAGCGCGATTCTGCAGGTGAGTGGGTGGGTGGCAGAAATTGTGGGGTTTAGGGTGTAGCGCGCAGAGGTTTATTAGCAAGGGGTTCGGTTTGGAGTTTGGGTTCCAGGTGGTGGTGGCGCAGTGGGGGCTGGCAGCATGGGTGGACCAGCACAGCACGATGCTGCAGGTGAGTGGGTTGCAATGGTTGTGGGGTATATGGTGGTGCGTGACAATGTTTTGTGAATGGCAGCACTGTTGTCACTGTATGAAAGATTTTGAAGCACCTCAATCTATTAGTTTCTCATACCTCACTCGCCATCTGCTCTTGTGCAGTGATTAGGCCCTGGCTTGTAAGAAGACAGCACCATTGTTGCTGTAGCAAGTTCAAAAAAATGAGTTTCCCATCCCCCATGCCGCATGTCCTCGTGGCCAATGGCTGGGCTTATTCCCACATGAAAACACTGCTATTAGTTGCACTGTAGCCCTATATTGAAGCACCTTAAACTCGTCATTTTTCTTGCTTCGTGCCGCGTCTCCTCTTGTGCAGTGGCTGGGCCTTGTCTTATATGAAGACACTGCTACTAGCACTGTAGCAGGGGGGCGAATGTGGGCTTTAACGTCTGGTTGTACTGCCAAAGCAGTGCTCCTAGCAGCTTGTCTGCTCCACCATGCCTCCTGCCACTGGCTCGCCGAGCTTCCTCCGGAGCTTCGGGCCGACCCTAAGGGCGAGCTTTGTGTGCTGTTTGTGCCTCCCGAAGCTGTGGCTGCGGCTCGGCACGCTGCTTCGGTGCACGCAGAGGAGATGACGGTGAGAGGGGGAGAGGAGGGAGGATTAGGGAGGGGATTGGGAGGGGGAGGAGGGGAGGTGGGAGGAAGAGGGGGAGGAGGAGGAGGAGGAGGAAGAGGGGGAGGAGGAGGAGGAGGAGGAGGAGGAGGAGGAGGAGGAGGAGGAGGAGGAGGAGGAGGAGGAGGAGGAGGAGGAGGGGAGGGGGAGGGGGAGGGGGAGGAGGAGGAGGAGGAGGGGGAGGGGGAGGGGGAGGAGGAGGAGGAGGCAGCACAGAAAAGGACGCACAGAAGGACTGTACCCCTCCTCAAAGCCAGATCAGGAGAGGCGGGGAAGGAGGTGGAGGAGGTGGAGTAGGGGGTTCAAAACGGGCCTATAAACTGATTAGCTTCCGGTCGTGGAGTGTAGGGGACTTGGAGAAACGGGCACGAGGTGCTGCTGATGCCTCCTCCTCTGTGTCCTCTTCCTCAATCTCCTCCTCCGTTTTCTCTCTCGGAGGGTCTTGGAGGCGCGGGGAGAAGGCAGTGAGTGGTGCTTCGCTGGAACGGCATGAGGAGGAGGGTCAGGTTCAGGCATGTAGCGTGGAAGACGGGGAAGAGGAGGGTGAGGGGGAGGGGGAGGGGGAGAGTGGGAAGGGGAAGACAGAGGAAGGGAAAAATGGCAGGGGCAGAGGGGTAATTGATAAGATTGGGTCTGCGTATGATGATGAGGGGTTCTTTGATGGATATGATGATGAATTTGATGAGGAGGATGAATATGATGAGGAGGATGAGGAGGAGGAGGACCAATCAGAGGAGGCGCGGCGGTACCGGCAACAGCTGCGGTCGATGTGGGCCGCGGTGCAAAACACAGTGGCACACTTCTTTTCACTCTACGGATTTCACGTGAGTGCCTTATTTTTTCACTCTGTGGTGTTCATATAAGCAAGCACCTTCGTCTCGCTTCCTTCATGATGTCAACAGTTATGGAGGCTATTGTGTACCATATGGACGACTTCATCGGTGGAAGGCTCCGCGTATTTTCGACAGCCGACCGCGCCATGCTGAAAGATACGCGCGCGGGGTTCACTGAAGGTTGCCTCGATTTCGGATTAGCGTACGCTCAGGCCCTTGCTACTAGCCGGCGGTTAGCCTCGGGGTTGCACAACACAAACGGTGCAAGTCGCGCCTAACCGCCGGCTAGTAGCAAGGGCCTGAGCACACGCTAATCCGAGGTCGAGGCAACCTTCTGTGAACCCCGCGCGCGTATTTTTTAGCACGGCGCGGTCGGCTGCCGAAAATACGCGGAGGCTTTTACCGATGGAGTCGTCCATATGGTACACAATAGCCTCCATAACTGTTCACATCATGAAAGAGATGTTGAGTGACCACGGATGGCAGCTGGAGGTGAAAAAAATAACAGTTGGTCTTAAGCCTTGAAACCGCACATCTTGATATGGACACCCCCGCAGTTGGTCTCAACAAGACGTCGCAACGACAACCTCCTAGTAAAATATATAATATTGGTCTTCGAGATTCCGTTTAGGTTGGACGACTCTTCTTTTGGGCGTCGGTGCAAGCATCCTTCTTTTCACTCTACGGATTTCTTGTAGTAGGCACGTTTGCTTCGGTTCAAATATCCGTGTCTTTTTCATTCGTCTTGTTATCCTTGTCCCCTGGTAGTTGATACTGCTGCCCTCCCTTCCTTCCTTCCTTGTGCTTTTTAAGTAACGTGCTGCCTCTCTGCATGTGATGATGACTACATGCCACACTGCTTCATTTCATTACTTTCATGGGACTATCTCCTCTCCTCCCATTCCCTGCAGGTGGTGGTTCTATTCCTCCTCGTCGCCAGTTTCGCAGTCAAGAACATTGTCTCGCTGCTCTACACATCCATCGTCGGCCTCTGCATCGCCCTCCCCCCGCATCTCGTGCGCCTGCTCTGGCCGCTCCTTGTAGTCACCTTCGCTGCAATCACCCTCTGGCAGTACTACATGCTCGCCGGCCCTCCTCCCTTCAACCACCCGCCTGCACCCCCTTCCATGCACAACCCCCCTCCCGTGCGCAACCCTCCTGCGTCCCCTCCCTTTCACTACCCTTCTAGACCCCCTCCCTTGGACAAACCTGGATCGATAGTAAATCCCCCGTCGCCTGAAGCCAGCCAACGTTCGTTTCTGGATGTGCTCCTCACACCACAAGCATACCCTTGCTCTCCCTTCAATCCGCCCACTTATCCCCTCAATAGTCCTACCCAGGGCTTGCCTTGGCTCTGGGTTAATAACTCTAGCGAGGGAAGGTTCAACAGCAGAGGGTTGTTTGACGATGGAGGGGTGTTGAATGTCAACAGGCGGCCCCCCCACCCGCCCAAGACGCACAGCCGCAACTGCCAGGACTGCTGGCTCAGCACGGACTCACAGGATCCCACCTGCTGGGACTGCTGGTTGGGTGAGTCGAGTTGCTCCGCGGTTGGGTTGGGTGCGTTTTTGACATGGGTGCGCTGGTGAGGTGGTTAGGTGAGTCAAGTTGGTGGAAGCTGTTGGCAGGTCCCCACCTGCTGGGACTGCTGGCTGGGTGAGTGGGTTGCGCTGAGCTGCAGTTGGGTTGGGTGCTTATAGTAAAGAAATGGGTGCGTATGGTTGAGAAATGGTTGCACTGGAATCGCCAGTGAGGCGGGTGGGTGAGTTGAGTTGGTTGAAGCTGCTGGCTCAGCACGGATTCACAGGACCCCACCTGCTGGGACTGCTGGCTCGGTGAGTTGAGTAAACACGTTTTCCTTCTCACCTCTTCCCATTGATGCTGCTCTCTGGGGTTTTCAGCAATTTCTCATCTGAGCTCGATTCATTCCCTTCCACTCGTCACCTCGTGTACCCCCTGCACCTCCCTGTCCCTTCTCCCCTCCCTCCGCTTGCTGGCAGGTGGCATTGTGGTGGTGGACGGTTGCATTATCTGCTACCATTCTCTGCTACGCCTACTTTTCTGTTCTTTGAATTTTCTCAGAAAGTCGTCCTTTTTCTCAAAAGCGCCGTTCCCCTTCCCTTTGCTGGCTGCCAGGTGGCATCGTGGACGACCGTCGGATCCTCTGCGCCTACTTCATCGTCTTCCTCCTCTCCTGCCTCCTCCTCTCCCCTTCCTCCTCCTCCTCCTCCACCTCCTCCTCCGCCTCCTCTTCCTCCTCCACCCATTCAAACCCATCCTTCCCACTCGACACCGCACCGCACCTCACCCGATGGACCTCCCTCCCCCCACCACCCATCCCTCCACTCTCAACCCCCCGCTCCCCCCACAACCCCCACCCCTCCTTCCCTCCTCCTTCCCTCTACCCATCCCCTTCCTCCGCCTCCCCACACCCTCCTGCCTCCCCCTGGCACGACCTCTCAGAAGGGCCCTCACCCAACTGGACCTTTCTGGACCACTGGAGATTCCTCTACTACAAATACCTCCTCTGGATCGTCCTCATACTAGTCTTTGCCACAGGAACCCTCCAATACGACCTCCTGCACTGCGGCTACCTCGCCCTCTCCCTTCTCAGCACGCGAAAACACGCGGCGATTCTCCGAGGCCAAACCACTGTCCTGAACTACCTCCGAGCGTATAATTTCCTGCTAATCACCGCTTCCCTGGTCTACCAGTGCCCGTATTTCCCGTACCTGCCCGCACTGTCATGCAACCCGTTCAGTATTGTCGGGCTGTATAAGTACGACTATGGGCTGAGGATGGACACGCGGAGTGCGGTGGTGGATCTGACCATGTTTGTGCTCATCACGCTCTTGGCTCACAGCCTTCGATCCGAGCTGTTTCAGCAAGTTCTGCTTTTTACAACCAAGCAGGAGGTGAGGCAACGGATATGGGTAGGTGAGTATGTTCCCCGGAGGAGTGCAGTGCGGTGATGGTGGGTGGGTGTGACCATGTTTGTGCAGCTGGGGCTGTATAAATATGACTATGGGCTGAGGATGGACACGCGGAGTGCAGTGGTCGATCTGACCATGTTTGTGCTCATCACGCTGCTGGCCCACAGCTTGCGATCGGAGCTGTTTCAGCAAGTGCTGCTCTTCACCACCACGCAGGAGGTGAGGCAAGGGATATGGGTGGGTGGGTGGGTGCACCAGAGTAGTGTTGTGCGGTGCTGGTGGGTGGTCGATCTGACCATGTTTGTGCTCATCACGCTGCTGGTTCACAGCCTTCGATCGGAGCTGTTTCTGCAAGTGCTGCTCTTCACCACCACTCAGGAGGTGAGGCAACAGGCAACGGGCATGGGTACACTGTGTCAGAACTTGAGCTTAGAATCCATACATTAGTAATGAGCTCAAGACTCTTTTAAGTATATTGGAAATGGGCAAGGTAAGAGTGGGGAGAGAATCGGGGACAATCCTAAGAAATTGGGGGTAATCCCAAGGCAATCTCCAATTGGTGGGTTGGAGATTGCTTGGAGATCACATTTGGGTTTGGTTGGGATGTGGGTGTACACCCAACCAAACACAAAGTGCAAACTGCACTAAACTAGGATATAAAAAGTACCAGTACAAATGTGAGATTGAGGGCTAACATTAAAACACCCCCATAGGCGTCAATCGAACTCATGGCAGAGAAGGCGGAGCGCAGAGCCCCATGGTGCCTAGGAGGCGATGGTGAGGAACCTTCCCAAGGGGCTTGGTGAACAGATCAGCCAAGTTGCAGTCAAAAGCCACATACTCCACATTGAGCTGCTCGCGCTGGACAAGGTAACGGATGAAGAAGTGCCGAAGTTCGATGTGCTTGGTGCGAGTGTGGTACACGGGATCCTGGGACAGGTGGATGGTACTCTTGTTGTCACGCCAGAGCGTGGGAGTGGGCTGAGGGTAGCCAAGCTCCTGAAGTAGGAAGGTGAGCCAGCGGGCATCGTCCGCCACCATGGTGCCAGCGTAGAGCTCGGCCTCACAGGAGGAGAGGGAGACTGCTGACGACCGGGTGGAGCGCCAGCTGACGATTCCGCTCCCAAGGGTGAAGCAATAGCCTTGGGAGGAACGTCGGTCGGTCTGGTCATCCCAGGCGAGGAGGAGAAATCCCACCAAGGGTGAGGACATGAGACTTGGCGCCCTGCAGATAGCGCAGTACCCGCTTTGCCGCTTTCCAGTGGAGGTCATCTGGGTCGGGTCTCAGGAAGCGAGGATGAAGTCATCGACGTAGACAAGGATGTAGAATGGCGCAGAGTGACGGCGGATGAAGAGAGTTGGTTCAGCAGATAATGGGTGAAAGTTTAATGAGAGAACGACTTCTTTCACTTTGTTGTGCCATTCACGAGGGGCTTGCTTGAGCCCGTAAACAGGGCGATTCAGCTTCCAGACAGTGTTGGGAGAGAACTCTCCTGGAAAGCCTTCAGGTCGATCCATGAACACTGTCTCCTTAAGGCGTCATTGCAGGAAGGCCGATGAGGCGTCCATGGATTTGATATCGAAGTCTTCTCGTGATGCTAAATCCAAGAGCGTACGAACGGTGGGAGGTTTGGATGTGGGAGAGAATGTCTTGAAAAAGTCAAAGTACTGCTGCTGAGTGAAGCCCTTGGCCTCGTAGCGCGCTTTGAACACTGGGGCCTCGTCCGAGTGAAACAGCCACTTGCCCCCAACAATGTTAACTCCTGGCGGTGGAGTTTCGTCGTCGAAAGAGTGGTTGCGAGTGAAGGCTTCACACTCAGCTTCCATGGCGGCACGCCACTCGGCAACATGGGGACCCGAGAGAGCCTCTTGAACGGTGAGAGGGATGGGGATGGTCGGATTCTCCGAGAAGTTGAGTGAGGGTGATTCAATGATGTCGGGGAAGATGTGCGAGAGCTGAGGAGTGACAGCGTGGAGATCACACAGCTCCTCAAGCCTGTCTTTGAGAAGGGTAGAGGGCACATCCCCCCCAGCAGGAGGAGTCAGAGTGATCACTGAGCACCGAATGGCAAGTGCCAATGGAGGAGCAGCCCCATGCGACCTAGTGCCATGAGCCACCGGAGAAGAGGGTGGAGCGGGCGGCACTGGAGGGGTCGATTTAGGGGGTTTGGGGGAGGGATCGGCCGTCGCTGGTACGTGATCAGTTCGGGCGGTTGTGGGGGAGCGGGTTCCTGAGTGGAAGGGGGAACAGGGGGAGGAGGTGGGGCCGGAGGGTTCGACCGCCGATTGGTATGTGATTGGTGCGCTTGGTGGTGGGAGCGTAGTTGGTGGAGTGGGAGAGGGGAGAGATGAGGGAGCAGTTGCCGAGGACACCGGTGAGGTCGGGTTAGAGACCTCCGAGTGGGATTGTGCGATGGCAGGGGAGGTAGGAGGTGAAGGAGCTGGTGCAGGCGGAAGTTCAGGGGGTGCATCAAAGTCAGCTCACACAAGAGGAAGGTCCGGAGGAAGGATCCCCCTCCGAAGAGGAGTACAAGGGGCGAGTCTCGTCGAAGACGACGTCGCGGCTACGGATTAATTGTTTAGTAGAGTGGTTGAGGAAGAGGTAGTCAGGGGAGTCGGCGTTATGCCCAAGATAGATGCATGTTTGAGTTTTGGGGCCGAGCTTGCCACCTTTCTGTCGCCGGACCTGCGGGTTGAGGAGGACATAGGCGGTGCACCCCCATTCGCGAAGGGGGCGAGTAGTGGGTGTTTTCCCGAGCCAAAGTGTGGTGGGAGTGGTGTCAGGAAGATGCGGGTGGGGGTAGAGGTTGTAGAGGAGGGCGGCATGATAGAGGGCGTACCCCCAGAGTGAGAGTGGTGCGTTGGAGTGGCTGAGGAGGCAGCGGGTGATCTGTGCCAACGTGTGATTGCGACTCTCTGCGATGCCCTTCTGCTGCGGGCTGTCAGGAAGGGTGAAGTTCTGTAGAATGTCTTCCGAGGAGCAGAAGGCCTTGAGCTTATCGTTGCAGAATTCACCACCACCATCTGAATGGAGGCGCTTGACCTTGCGGCCAAAGGTGGTCTGTGCCAGATGACCCACGCCATGATGACCCATGAAGCCTCAACTTTAGTGTGCAGGAGGTGCACAGAGACGTAGCGGGAGCGGTCATCAACTAAAGCAAGGAAATAACGATAACCGCTTCGTGCGGCAACAGGGGCAGGGCCCCAGACGTCCATGTGCACTAGGTCCAGTGGGGCTGCAGCGACTGAGGGTGAGGCAGGGTGGGGTTGTTGGCGTAACTTGCTCTTGGTGCAGTCAATGCACGTAGGAGCGGGAGAGTCAGGTGGTGGAGGAAGTGAGGCTGGTAGGCCGAGAAGAAGCTTCTGTCCTGCGAATCAACGGTGACGAAGGCGACGCGGGAAAAAATCCGGCCGGGAAGAAGATTAGGTCGATGAAGGTGCTTTACGTCGAGCGATGAATGTTGAAGGCGGCTTTGCGTAAGGGTGCGGGAGAGGATTCTGCAAAGGTAAAAGGATCAGGATCCGCATGTGCAGATGAAGAGCTCTGATACCATGTCAGAACTTGAGCTTGGAATCCATACATTAATGATGAGCTCAAGACTCTTTTAAGTACATTGGAAATGGGCAAGGTAAGAGTGGGGAGAGAATCGGGGACAATCCTAAGAAATTGGGGGTAATCCCAAGGCAATCTCCAATTGGTGGGTTGGAGATTGCTTGGAGATCACATTTGGGTTTGGTTGGGATGTGGGTGTACACCCAACCAAACACAAAGTGCAAACTACACTAAACTAGGATATAAAAAGTACAAGTACAAATGTGAGATTGAGGGCTAACATTAACACACTTAGGTGGGTAGGTAGGTACACTGCCATCTCAAACGCTCGCTGCCTGTCCCGCTCCTGGTAGAGTGGGTGGGGGGGAGGGAACGGGGAGGGGGATGCAGCGGGTGGCGTGTTGCTGCCGCAGATGCTCTCTCTGCCACGCCGCTACCCTCAACTCCCCCCTCTCGCCTCCCACCCTTGCTTCGACTGATTACTCTCTGCTCCCTGCCTCCCTGCCTGCCTGTCTGCCTGCCTGCCTCTTCCCCGCTGCCTCCCCCTCCCCATCCCCCCGCTGCCTTGCCCTCCCATCCCCCCTCCCCCTCAACCCCCGTCACCCCCTGTTCCCTACCAGGAGAGGGACAGGCAGAGAGCGTTTGAGATGGTGGCGGCGTGGCAGCGGGAGCATCTGCGGCAGCTGCAGCAGGCGGAGGAGAGGCGGCGGCAGCGCAGCGAGGAGGTGCAGCGCATGAAGGACGGCATGCGCCGCCTCCACTCCCACCTCGCCCTCCTCAACTCCCCCCTCTTGCCTGGCAGTCGTGGTGCAGCAGGCGGGGTAGCTGGGCCCGGGGCGGCTAGGCTGGTGCAGCAGCATCAGCAGCAAGTGCTGCAACTGATGCTGGCACGGGGGAGGGTGGGAGGAGGGGGAGGAGGGGAGACGGGAGAGGGAGGAGCAGGAGGAGGGCGAGAAGGGGTGCAGGGGAGTAGATGGCAGGATCTGCCTTGTGATTCGTCAGAAGCTGCAATGGTTCTGAAAGAGGTCCAGAGTGGTGCAGATGGTGCTGCTGCTGCTGCAGCTGAAGTTGCCACTACTACCACCACTGCTCATGCAACATACCACTTTCCCCAGTCAACCCCTTCAAGCACAGCTGGTCAACCCCCTCCTACCGCCCTTCTCCCTCCCGCCGCACTCTCCTCCCCTCCTCACCCCATACCATCTAGTACCTTATCCACCCCTTCGCCCTCCCCCACTTATTTCCTTCCCCCAATCTACCCCCCTTCCTCCAACACTGCCTCCCCAGCTGTACCTCCCCCAGCTGGCCCCTCCCCCGTGGATCCTGTGTTGTCAGACGGTGTAGAATCTCCAATGCTGCCCCCTGCTTGTAATGGACCCTCTTATAACGCGGTTATGGGAAGGGCTGGAGCTGCTGCTGGCAGAGAATTGGCTGGCACGGAAGGGGAGGTGTGGAGAGGAGTGGGAGGAGGAGAACGGGGAGGGAGAGTTGAGGGGGTGGCAACAGCAACACCTTCACTCTCCTCAGGCAATGTTTTCGATGCAGCAGCAGCAACCGGCACAGGAGCAGCAGCAGCAGCAGCAGCAGTAGGAGCAGCAGCAGCAGCAGTGCCACCAGGGGTGTCAGTATCAGTGGCAATACCATCTTCATCATCATCACCCTCAGTAGCATTACCAGCAGCAGCAAGAGAGACAAGGTCACGGGGATCATCCCTCTCCTCCCCTCCCTCCTCCTCTGCTCCCACCGCTACCTCCACCCACCCGCCCAGCACAGTCAGCACAGGTACCGCTACCAGCCGATGGAAGCGGGCGGCAGGGGGCCTTGTCGGGCGGCGAAGCGGGCGGCTGATTCCGGCCGGTATGCAGCAGATGATTGGGCAGGGGGTGGCTCAGGTGCAATCCATGGTGATTGCAGGGCTAGAGGATCTGCTCGATTTGGATTCGGAAGGAGGGGAGATCGGTGGAGTGGGGTTGAGTGCGGTGAGAAGTGATGTAGGTGGTGGCGGGGCGAGCAGGCTCGGGATGAGTGCGGTGGAGAGCGGTGGGGTGGGAGCCTCAGGAGTGGGGAGTGAAGGGTTGAGCAGCGCTGGTGGTGGCGTTTATGAGGGTAGCCTGGGTAGGCTAGACGGGGGGAGTGTTGGCGTTTTAAGTGTGGGTGCTGCTTCAAGTGGCAGGCCACGCAGTAGCAGCTGTAATTGGCCTGAGGGATCTCAAACTTCGGTGGGTGAGAGTGATTCTCAATCCCAGAGGCTGGAGGGGTTGGGCGGCAGTGCTGGTGGTCTTGGTGTTGGTGGTTTTTATGAGGGTAGGCCAGAAGGGGAGAGTGTGGGTGTTACCCCGAGTGGAAGGCCGCGCAGCAGTAGCTGCAATTGGCCTGATCCCTCTTCTAATGACGGGAAGGAGGAGGGAGGGCAAGACAGTTTGAGTGCAGCGCAGAGCTCTGATATCCTCCCTGTCAGCAGTGAGGTGGATGTATCAGCAGTGGCTGATGCGCTGCCAGCTGTCCTAGAAGAAGGACCAGACGGTTTGAGTGCAGCACAGAGCCCTGATATCCTCCCAGACACACGCCCTGTCAGCAGTGAGGTGGATGTATCAGCAGTGGCTGATGCGCTGCCAGCTGTACTAGAAGAAGGATCGGGCCAATCAGACGGCGGTTCTGGATTTGACCAATCAGGCGCCAGTGCTGTTCGGAGGGACGTGTTGGGGAAGGAGATTGTAGAGGAGGGGGCGGTGACTGGTGATGGCGGTGTGGGAGCATCAGGGTTTGCAGGAGAGGGAATGGGAGAAATCGGTGAAGGGTTTAGCAGGGGAGGGGAAAGAAGGGAGCGAGGGGAGGAGAGGGGATTTGGTGCATCTGAGGCTGCTGGTGCTGCTGCTGCTACTTCTGTGGTCGTGAGAGGAGGGCTTCGGACATCAGCTGCAGAATTGGCTGCTTTTGAGAATTCTGAAAGGCCGTTAAGTGCACCAGAGGCTGCTGCTGCTGCCATCGCAGCGGGAGGAGGTTTCCTGGAAGCAGCAGAAGCAGCCGCAGCTGCTGTATTGCGTCGGCATAGGTCGAGGGGTGAAGCAGGAGAGGGGAAGGGCTCGGGGGGAGGAGACAGGGGAAGCGGAACAGGAGGAGGGGGGGTGGATGCAGGAATGGGAGAAGGGATGAGTCAAGGGATTGGGCAAGGGATGAGGCAAGGGGCGGGAGAACGGACTGGAGAAGGGATGGGCGAAGGAACAGGTGTAACAGCTGCAGAAGCAGCAGCAGGACCAGTAGTTGGTAACACCACCACCGCCGCTGCCATCGCCGCCACCTTTCCCTCTCCCTCTCCCTCCTCCCCCTCCCGCCCCCGGGCCTTCTCCCGGCTGCGCTGGCTGCTCCACGCGAACAGCGACGTGGTAACCGGCGCGTTCTTGGTAACCGCGTTCTGCTGGAACCTGTCCCTCTCCACCCTCGTGTTCCCGCTCTCACTCTTCCTGTATGCGCTCGTGTCGAACCCGTCCCCCGGGCCGAGGTTCTGGCGGGGAATGTTGGTTTATTCGGAGGTTCTGATTGCGTTAGAGTATCTGTATCAGATCCCCACGCATGATGGGTGTGCGAGCTGGGCCGGGGGGAATGGGGCCGGGGGGAGCGGGAAAAAGGGAGGGGGAGGTGGGGGAGGCGGCGGCGGGGGTGGTGGAGCAGGAGGAGGAGGAGGGGGAGGGGGAGGGGGAGGGGGAGGGGGGGGGGGGGGGGGGGAGGGGGAGGGTTTGCTGGGTGGATAGGGGCTGGGTTCGGTATGGAGGGGTGGGATAGGCTGTTTTCTCTGCTAGGCGTTCGCCCCTACCCGAGCTGGTTCGTGTGGAACGTGCTTCCTCTCTTTGCAGTCTACCTCGCTCTGCTTGTTCAGACCGCCATCTGCCAGAGAAACAGCCAGTCTAGGAGTGCTAAGGAGTCTAGGGTTTCTGGGGGGGCTAGGAGCTCTGTGAAGGGTGGCAGACCAGAGGAGGAGGAGGAGGAGGAGGAGGAGGAGGTCAGGTTTGGAAGTGACCGAGGCTCGGACGGTGGTTCGGGCCAAGCTGAACAGGGAGGGGTCGGTGGTTTCTGGGGTTGGTTGACGGGAGTTGGGAGGGTGGTTGGTCGGCTGGTTGGGGTCAGCCAGGCTGTTCACGTGCATGCTTATGTGGACTGTGCTGCTGAGAGGGATGACGATGCTGACGTGGATGATGCTGACGTGGAGGCAGCTTCGCCTCTGCTGGGCCGCAGCACCCGTGCGTCCACGTTCCCTCAGGCCTCCTTCCAAACAGCCGCCCACTCTCCTCGTCAAACCCATGCGCCAGCCTTCCCTCTCACGTCTCGCAATGGACACAGCTCAGCAGAGGGAAGCAGCTCGAGGCATAGTTACCGCAGCAGCAGCCGGAGCAGGAGCAGCAGAAGCAGCGGCAGCAGCAGCAGCAGCAGCAGCAGTGGGAGTAGAAGCAGCAGCAATAGAAGTAGTAGCAGCAGGGAAGGAACATCTACCCGGCCGTTTTCGTTTCAGCGGGTGTGGGGGGGACTGTCGTTTCGATGCATAGGAGTGTGGAGGAGTTTAGTTAGGTTCTTAAGAGCTGCTATGGAGGGTTCCGAAGCGCCTCCCTACTTTGTGCAGGTTGTGCTGTGCAGCCCGGACGGGTGGACGGCCAATCAGATGCTGCCAGGTGTCGTTGAAGGGGCGTTTAATTTCATGCTAGCGCATGCTGATGATGTGGCGGCATTTGCTGTGGCAGTGCCAGCTGACGTGGCAGTGCCTGCTGATGTGGCAGGAGCTACACAGAGAAGAGGAAGCCACGGTGTAGGTGGCTTGAAAAAGCATGTGCGTTTTGAGGAAGACAAATTAGCTGTGACTGAACAGCAGCAGCAGCAGCAGCATTATCAACATGAGACTCAACGGTGGTCTCAGCCGCAGCAACTAGGAGTAGGAGAGCAGGCACTTGTGTTGCGTTCCCGCGACTATCCCCTGTGCGTGCGCGTGCACAGCCTGCACTGTGCTGGCTCTCTCAACGCTTCCTCTCTCAGCACCTCCTCCCCTTCGGCACCCAACCCACAAGAAATAGTGAACTCTCCTCTTCCTGCTGCTTCTTCTGCTGGTGCACGTGAACGCGATCCCCACCCTTTTCCTCCTCACACTCCTCCGCACTCGCAACTCCCTGTTACTGACACTTTAGTAGTGGTGCTCGAGGTGGTTACCAGCAGTGCCACCTCTGCTACCACCGCTGCTCCTGACTCCGCTTCCTCTCCCACCTGCTCTGATCCTCCCTCCACCTCCTCAACGCCCCAGCATGTCTCCTCTCAGCCACACACGTGGCACGACACCTGGCAGTCTCTCACGCCATCTGCTGACGTGGCAAAGAGGCTCGGGAGGTTCATGATTGGGGGAAGGCCGGGGAGTGGGGGAGAGGGAGGGGTGGAAGGAGGAGGGGAGGGCAGGGAGGAGGTGGTGAGTGGACTGGGTGGTGGTGTGTGTGGGCGTGGGAGTGAATTTTCAGCAGCTGCTGCTAATGGCATTCTGGGGAGGGCGTTTGGGTCACGTCGTGTGCAACTCACCTCAGTTGTTGCAGGTATAGTGGGCCCAATAAGCTCTCAATAAGTGCTCTATCAGGATTCACGCCTTCTTCTGCCTGGGCCACTTAACCTTTGCCAGCCAGTCTTTGCCAGTCTTTCCCTATACCCAGGTGGTTGCAGGGAGGTAGACCTCTACCCCTACATCTTCTGTATTGACATCCTCGCATTCTTCGACGTGGGGCTCTCAGTCCCTTGGTAACGCTCTTCTTTCACCCACCCTGGTTCCTCATTTCCCTACCCTCCCAGGAGGTCGCAGGGAGGTAGACCTCTACCCCTACATCTTCTGCATCGACATCCTCGCCTTCTTCTACGTGGGGCTCTAAGCCCTTGGCTGCTTGGTTCCTCTTTTCTCATCCACTGTTTCCCTCTTATCCATCCCGTCTCTGCTACCAACCCAGGTGGCAGAAGGGAGATAGACCTATATCCCTACATATTCTGTATCGACATACTCGCTTTCTTCTATGTGGGGCTCTTCTACCAGTCGGCCGTGCGAGACAGGTCGCCCTTTGAGGAGGTCATTCACACTGGCGACCAGTTCCCCTCCACCTATGTGGCGGTTCTCATGGTGCGTGCGCGTTGCTAGAAATAGTTTGGATTGCGTTGGGGATGAGTTGGGAAAGGGTAGTTGGGGTGGGGGTAGCCTACCAGTCGGCTGTGCACCACCGGTCACCCTGTGAGGAGGTGATTCACACGGGCGACCAGTTCCCCTCCACCTATGTGGCCGTGCTCATGGTACGTACGAAAACTAGCAGAATAGCCTAGGGACCTGCAGAACGGCATGCCATGGCATGGCAGAATACCCACAGTAGTACGTGCTGTTCTTCTATGTGGGTCTCTTCTATCAGTCAGCTGTGCGAGACCGGTCGCCCTTTGAGGAGGTGATTCACACGGGGGACCAGTTCCCTTCCACTTACGTTGCGGTTCTCATGGTACGTACGATCCGTCGCAGAATAGCCTAGGGATTTGGAGAACGGCATGACGTGTCATGGTACGTGCTGTTCTTCATACCAAACCCCAAACCCAATTCCCCATTCCCCCGTTCCCCCGTTCCCCATCCCCCATACAAGCAGACGCATTTCTTCCTCATAGTCACCAACTGTATCCTCTACCTGGTCTTCAGCGCGCATCCCCATTTCCCCCTCCCCCCTTCCCCCCATCCCCCCATCCCCCCATCCCCCCATCCCCCATCCCCCATCCCCCCTACAAGCAGACGCAGTTCTTCCTCAAAGTCACCAACCGCATCCTCTACCTGGTCTTCTCCGCGCCGCTCCGCCTCCTCTACCACCTCACCTCGCTCCTGCTGCACCTCGGCTACCCCATGCGCCTCTTCTGGAACGCCAACCTCATCGCCTCCCACAACACCATCCCCTCTCCTTCCATCCCTTCCCCTTCCCTTCCCGCCGTCCCTCCCCTTCCCCTCCCACCTTCTCCTCTCCCTTCCGCTCCCACTCAACCCTGTTTCTTTCCCCTGTCCCACCTTCCCCTTTCCCCCCTCCCCCCATCCCCCCCACCCCCCCACCCCCATCCCCCCTACAAGCAGACGCAGTTCTTCCTCATAGTCACCAACCGCATCCTCTATCTGGTCTTCTCCGCCCCCCTGCGCATCCTCTACCACCTCACCTCCCTCCTCCTACACCTCGGCTACCCCATGCGCCTCTTCTGGAACGCCAACCTCATCGCCTCCCACAACACCATCCGCGCCTACCTCGCTATCAAGTCCATCTCCCTCGCGCTCTCAGCGCTGCAGCTGAAGCACGGCCCACCCGGGCCTGCCAGCAAGGCGACGCCGTTTCTGACGAGGCGGGCCACGTGGCTGAGGTGGCAGCTGTTCCGGGTTTACCGCATGCTGCCGTTTCTCTACGAGCTGCACTTGATTCTCGACTGGTGGTGCACGAAAACAACTCTGCCTCTCTATGACTGGCTCAAGGTATGATATTGGACAGATGATAGTGCTGTCAGCGTCGAGGCAGCTGTTCCGGGTTTACCGCATGCTACTGTTTCTCTACGAGCTGCATCTGATTCTCGAATGGTGGTGCACAAAAACAACCCTGCCTCTCTACGACTGGCTCAAGGTGCGCTGTTGAGCTGTTAGCATTGGTTCTTACTGTTACTGACTGTCAGCATGAAGGGTGTGTTACGGCAGCTGTTCCGGGTTTACCGCATGCTGCCGTTTCTCTACGAGCTCCACTTGATCCTGGACTGGTGGTGCACGAAAACGACTCTGCCTCTCTACGACTGGCTAAAGGTGCGCTGCTAGTATTTGTTTTCTCTGCAGTACGGCAGTAGAATGAGGCATGAGCGACCTCTGTTCATCTATTTTCCCCTCCTGTCCCCTCCTCCTCCTCCCCCCAACAGCTAGAGGTCATCTACGCCAGTCTCTGCCTTGGCAGCTGTGATCGCAAAATACCAAGGCAGCATGAGCAATGCTATGCCAGACTGTCTATCTCTCCCCTTCCCACCCCCCTTCCCCAACAGCTAGAGGGCATCGCTTCTGCGCCAGTCTCTACCTTGTCATTTGCGATCGTAAGACAGCACATGCAGGCCACAAGCTTGGAGGGAGTAGAGCCAGACTGTAACCCTGTATCCCTGCCTCTGTTCATCTGTTTCCCCGTCCTCTTCCCTTCCTCTCCTCCCCCCAACAGCTAGAGGGCATCAGCGCCAGTCTCTGCCTCGTGACCTGCGATCGCAAGATACCGCGTGCGGGGAAACAAGCCGTGTGTCACTCTTGCACCTTCTGTGTCCCGCCTACATTGCTGTATCTGTTTCCTACCATTCTCCTCCCTCCTCACACCCACTACAGCTAGAGGACATCTACGCCAGTCTCTACCTTGTCACCTGCGATCGCAAGATAGCGCGTGCCGGACACAAGCCGGGGCAGATCAGAGCCAGTCTCTACCCCTATAAGCCTGCTTCCGGTCCCCTGCGTCCCCTCCTCATTTTTACAGCTAGAGGACATCTACGCCAGTCTCTACCTTGTCACCTGCAATCGCAAGTCAAGGCAGCAGAAGCAAGGCTATGCCAGACTGCCTTTTGTGCCCTGCCTAGATTGCTCTATCTCTCTTCCACCATCTCCACCCCCCAACAGCTGGAGGACATCTACGCCAGTCTCTACCTCGTGACCTGTGATCGCAAGATAGCACGTGCAGGGCACAAGCCGGGGCAGCCGCAGGGGTGGGGGGTGAAGCTCATGGGAGGGGCCTTTTTCTTCCTCGCTATAGTCACAGCCATCTGGGCGCCCATGCTGGTGAGTGTATCTCGTTATTGTCACAGTTGACAGTGACATTGCATTCTTCTTCCTCACTATACTCACGGCAGCCATCTGGGCACCCGTGCTGGTGAGTCTCGTTTTTGTGACAGTTGTTGATCGTGATATTGCTTCTCCCTCGCTATAGTCACTGCCATAAGGGCGACCACCCAATTATTGCTGGTGAGTCCCGTTATTGTCACAATTGTTGTCATGTCAGTGCTATTGCTGCTTCCTCGCTATTGTCACTGTCATCTGGCCACCATGCTCGTACTTTCTGTTACACACACCGATTTTCTCTAGTCACAATCAACCATGCAACCCTGCCCTCACCCCATAAACCACAGACCTACAGCAACAGCGGCAACCCTGCCAACTACCCCAGTCTGGTGACAGGCATGCGAGTGAACCTCTGCTTCCTGCTTGAGCCCCTGCTACTACTAAACCATCAACCCGAACCCTACCTAGTCTCACACTCCCCCCATTTGCCTCCTCTCCTTTCCTAATTCTCCCCTTACCCACTCCCCCCCCCCACCCCCCCCCCCCCTCCCCACCTCTCCCCATCTCGTGCAGATCTACAGCAGCGGCAACGCCGCCAACTACAGCAATCTGGTGACAGATGTCCGAGTCAACCTGGTCCTGCAGACCTTCTCTGGATCTTTCCCCATCTTCCACCCTCTGCACCCTCTCTCACTCCCCTCCTCTTCCCCCTCTGACTGTCTTCTCTCCCTCTCTCCCCATGTCTTCAGATCTACAGCAGCGGCAACCCCGCCAACTACCCCAATCTGGTGACAGAAGTGCGAGTGAACCTGGTTCTTCAGACCTGCTCCGGTTCCTTCCCCATCTTTGAGGGCGGACAGGAGCGCCTGCTGCTAGACCCTCTGCTCAACCCAGGACCTGCAACCCCCTTTCAGCTCTCTGGCTCACAGCAGCTGCAGGAGATGCGTTTCCTGGAAGGCTCCTTTGCTGGTAGTGAGGAGGAAGGTTCAGATGACGCTGAGGAAGGTTCGCAAGAAGCTGTTAGGGATGCAGTGGAAGGTTCCTGGAACCAGGACTTTCACAGGGATAAAATTCGTCGCACACTCACTGAAACTGAGTACCCTGATAGCAGAAGGCCTTATACTGGTAGCGGTTTTTCTAATTTCGAGTCATTCCCACAGCACGAGCCTGTGCTTGTACCCTTTACAAGCATGCCCGGTTCATTACACCACAGCAATTACCACGATTTAGATGCTGACAGTAGTTCTAATGTACAGTTACCAACAGCAGCCATACAGTCTCCTCCTCTTTCCCCCTCCTCTCCTCCCCTCCTTGCCTCCTCTCCTCCTGTCCCTCCGCCCTCTCCTCCCCTCCCTCCGCCTTATCCTCCCCTCGCTCCGCCCTCTTCCCCCCTCCCTCCGCCCTCTCCTCCCCTCGCTCCTCCCCCTTCCCCACCCCCACCTCGAATCCCCTCCTGGAACGTCTCAGACGATCCTATCCTGAATTCCACGGGGTATTTACCCGTCGATATGCGCCTGGTGTGCGTTTACCCCGACTCCCTCTCCCTCTTCCAGCTAACACCCCCAGCTGAGAGTCGCCTAAGAGAAGCACTTAGGAGATCGGCCACAGGAGGGGGAGGCAACAGAAGCAGCAGACGAAGGGTAGGCGGAAAGTATAGACTGAGCGGAGGGAGTATAAGAGATCTGCCAGGAGCATCACACCTAGCGGTATCCTTCCCGTATCACCCAATTCAACCCTCACTCTCTTCCACCCAACCAGCCTCCTCCCGTCGCTCTCTCCAAGCCTCTTCCCAAGCCTCCTCCCAAGCCTTCTCCCGAGCCTCCTCCCGAGCCTCTCTTTCCGGCCCGCCAGACCCGTGTGCGCCGAGCCTGATGGTCCAGTGGTGGTTCACGCGTCCCCGCCCCGTACGGAGGGAGGTGGCGTCATGGGAGGAGGTCTATTCCGGCCTGCCCCCTGCACTGCTTGCTGATGGGCTGCTGGGGATGCTGGAGGGGAGGAAAGCACCTGCTGGGCTGCTGAGGGGGAGGAAATCACATGCCAGGAGTGGGGATGGAGGGGATGGTAGCGGTGGGGCTTTGGGGTTGTTGCTACCGGAGCTCTATCCGGTCTACTGGAAGCTTCCTGGATTCGGCAGGGCGAGAGAGCTGGAAGCTTCCAAGGTGAGAGTAACTCTAAGTGTGTCTGTGGTTGGGTGTTTGAGTGTTTGTGGGTGCATGTGGCTGGCATAGTCCAGTGGTGGTTCACGCGTCCCCGCCCTGTCCGAAGGGAGGTGGCGGCATGGGAGGAGGTCTATTCCGGCCTGCCCCCTGCACTGCTTGCTGATGGGCTGCTGGGGATGCTGGAGGGGAGGAAAACACCTGCTGGGTTTCTGGAGGGGAGGAAAGCACCTGGCGTTGGTGGTAATGGGGATGGAGCTGCTGATGATGCCAGTAGTGGGGCCGCCTTGGGGCTGCTGCTGCCGGAACTCTATCCGGTCTACTGGAAGCTTCCTGGATTCGGCAGGGCGAGAGAGCTGGAAGCTTCCAAGGTAAGGCTAACTCTAAGTGTGTGCGGGGTGGGTGGGTGTGTGCCAGTTATTGAGTGGGTGGGTGTCTGTGTTTGTATGTGTACGTGGAAAGATCCAGTGGTTGTTTTACACACGCTCCCGTCCCATCCAAAGGGAGGTGGCGGCATGGGGGGAGGTCTATTCCGGCCTGCCCCCTAAAAACCCTGCTGGGAAGGGTGGGAACGGTGGGGATGGTGGGGAGAGCGGTGGAGAGGGGTTGCTGCTGCCAGAGCTCTATTCGGTCTACTGGAAGCTCCCTGGGTTCGGCAGAGCGAGAGAGCTGGAAGCTTCCAAGGTAAGGCTAAGGCTGGCTCTAAGCGTGTGTGTCTGGGGGGCAGTCGCTGGTGGGTGCTGCAATTGAGTCGTCTCAGAAATACACTTCTTTCACGTGGCTTCCAAGGTAAGGCTAAGGCTGGCTCTAAGCGTGTGTGTCTGGGGGCAGTCGCTGGTGGGTGCTGCACTGTGCTCCTCCCCCTCGCAACTCCCTCTACCCGATTTCCTTTTACTCCCCTTTGTGCCCTGACTCACAGGTTAGATCCGCCTGCTGCCTACAACTGCAAGATGACTCTTCTAGCAGCAGTGGCAGCAGCAGCAGCAGCGGTGGGAATGGTAACAGCCGCTGGTGGGTGCTGCACTGTGCTCCTCTCCCTCCTGACTCCACCGGTACTCTCGGTGTGTGCTCTTACAACACATCGCAAAACGCCACCCTTTCCCGTGGCGGCATTGGCGGGAGCAGCAGCAGCAGCAGCAGCAGCAGCAGCAGCAGCAGTAGATGGGACAGTGGTGGTTGGGGCAGCAGAAGGGAGGGAGCAGGAGTGGAGCCACGAGGAGAAGTAAAGGGTGGGAATGCTGCAGAGAGGGGGAGGAGGCTGGCGGAGAGTGAGGGTGTGAGGGCACTGGAGGCGTGTGGAGAAGCGTCAGGCCCTGCTGCCATCACCGTGTCTGAAGAAGTGCCTGGTACGTTGTTCCATTAGGTTCGAAACTTCTCGACTCGAGGGTGTGTGTGAGGGCGTTGGAGGCATGTGGAGAAGCATCAGGTCCCGCTGCTATCACCGTGTCAGAAGAAGTTCCCGGTGGGTTCCTTGTCTTTTCTGGCTTCCCAGAGCATTCGTACTGCTATCACAGGGGTAGGTTGGGGCACTGGAGGCGTGTGGAGAGGCATCAGGGCCTGCTACCATCACTGTTTCAGAGGAAGTGCCTGGTAGGTGTTGCTTCTGGTGGGTTGGTGCTGTGCTGTGCTGCACACTTGCTTGGTAGGAGGGTGGGTATTAGCCAGATGGGATGGGCGGGCAGTGAGGGTGTGAGGGCGGTGGAGGCGTGTGGAGAGGCGTCAGGGCCTGCTGCTATCACCGTGTCTGAAGAAGTGCCTGGTATGTTCGACTTGATACGAGACTCGAGGGTGTGTGCGGACAGTAAAGGGTGTGGGGGTACTGGAGGCGTGTGGAGAGGCATCGGGGCCTGCTGCTATCACTGTGTCCGAAGAAGTGCCTGGTAGGTGACATTTCACACACATATACTTACATCTGTAGGTGCTGAACAGAGGGTGTGGACGGACAGTGGGTGCTCGCAATGCCAATCCCCCCCCTCCCCCAACACCCCATTTCCGTCTCTCTATACTCGAGCCGGCGTACTAGGCGAGGCAGTGCAGACGTTCAGCATCACGGGCCTCTACGTCACATTCGTGCTCGCCCTGGGGCGACTCCTTCACTCCTTTTCCCACCTCATTCACTCCGCATTCTCTCCTCATTCACTCCTCATCATTCCAAACCATAGCCGGAGTGCTAGGCGAGGCGATGCAGACGTTCAGCATCACTGGGCTGTACGTCACGTTCGTGCTCGCCCTGGGGCGACTCATTCCCCATATTCCCCACTCCCCACTCCTGCCCCTAACACCCCGTTTCCCTCTCAGCTGGAGTGCTAGGCGAGGCGATGCAGACGTTCAGCATCACGGGGCTGTATGTCACCTTCGTGCTCGCCTTGGGGCGGCTCATTCGCTCTCAGAGCTCCGATCTTCGTCTCAAGATACCCTACGAGAATCTGCCCTCCTGTGAAAGGCAAGTTCTTCTCTCATGCGCCTTCGAAATAGGCACCTCAGAACCGTCAGGCGCTCGCCTCAGAACCTAAATAAATCAGAGCTCCGACCTTCGCCTCAAAATACCCTACAAAAACCTGCCCTCCTGCGAAAGGCAAGTGTCTTTTCAGGTGCTTGTAACATAGACACCTCAAGATCTCTGATTGTTCTCCTCAAGATACCCTACGAGAATCTGCCTTCCTGTGAAAGGCAAGTCCTTCAAAGGCACCCCACGAACCACAGAATCAAGCTCTGGCCGTTGCCTCAATATGCTCTGCTCTGCTAAACTCTACAGTCCTGTCGAAGTCCAGTTGGCATTTCCAGTTATAGGTACTACAGGAAGTGAGTGAAGAGCATTTGGACCAGCCACACCTTTGACTCACCGTTTCTCTTTCCTGACCAGCTTTTCTTCCCCTTTCTACTCTGTTTTTTTTCCCGTTTCTGCTGCTCTGGCTGTTTCTGTTTGAGCGACACACTTCCTTTCCATATCCCCGTCTGTGCTGTGTCATCCTGTTTATGCCGATGTGTCTATAATCCCAACAAAAAACAGGCTTATGGCTATATGTGAAGATTTATATGCGGCACGAGCAGAGGGGGACCTGGAGCTGGAAGAAGGGCTTTATTGGACTCTAATAAAAATATATCGCTCACCACATGTGCTTCTTGAATACACCAAGGGTGACAAAGCTGATTAACCTACCGTATATGCAAAGTTCCAAGTGGATGTTTTTGTACACATTCGCTTCTTCCATAATCCATTCTTGTATTCATTCCCTACCTGTAGCATTGAACTGCATATGAATCAAATGAATAACGACATTGTTATACAACTCTCTTAGAATGAGCGATGGGGTTATGACTATGAGCGTCGCAACAATCCATCGTCTCCCTCGTCTAGCTAGCATATTGAAGCTGGAGGAGGGCGGCATGTAATTCGGAAAATAGTCTTCTCCTCATGTCATTTATAGAATCCCTAACTGATGTAGTGTATGAATCTGGTTAAAAAATATCCAAGTTTTATTATCGGTAAGAAATGCAAGGCATCCAGCAACATCAGGACGAAACTGTTGGGATGTTGCTGACACCCGGTGGTATTCTGCCGTTGGTGAAGTCTGTGAGCTGGTCGGTTTCGGTGGTGAAGACTCGTGAAGGTTGGGTGTAGTTTCGAGTGTGTCTACTTTTCCAGGGGGTATTTATGAGACATTGTACACCGAATTTAATGTGAAGTCGTCTTTACGTACTCCAGTTCCTAACGGAATATGTAGGCCGAATTCAGCTTAGTTGTTTCTGTTTCATTTCTTTCTTTCTGGGGCTGATGGGTCTGCTTTTGCTCCCTGCTTTTGACCTTTGGATGCATATCGTTATTCCAGTACAGATCACATGCCACACGGTCATCCCGCGTTGATGAGGTGCGACTTTCTGGTGGGGTTGTTCAGTGGTCACCAATCCCAGTTGCTGTACAGACCGACAGCTAGACAGCAATGCTGGGTACATTTCCAAGTTTCTTTGATATGTCGGGCTTCAAATAGAAGTTGCCTGCTGAACTCCCGCAGTGCTGAGACCGCGTAACTGTCGACAACGTACCCCAAAATATCTACATTTGTCGAGCGAATTTGTGACCCCGATTAACAACCTCGCTTTGGATAAACGTGGGTGACTCTGAAATTGTCAGGTGTATGTGTAGTTCCGCGAAGGAAGTCACCCGACCGAATAAACAGCAATAAGTATCGCTCAAAAAACACAAGACGACAAAATATGTGACTGCCAGTTGACCTGACGAATCTTGTGAGCCACCACCACCACCCACCCACCACCATCACCACCACCACCGAAGTAAGATGAGCTCGGAGCTCCGGTTCTGAGTTTTTGCCCTACTACCACTCCTAGTCAACTAGCGCAGTCACTCTACAACAACAGTACTACTAGTAGTACTAGTAAAACTTAGTAACGCCCAACTGCCGCTCATCGCCGAAATGTCTAAAGCATCTCTCCGCGGCACAGGGGGCGCCGCTGAACAGACGCCAGTGGAGAAGTCCGAAGCATCACCAAGTTCGAGTTGCGTTGCTGGAATGTGCGAGAAAACGGCTATGAAATGTGTCAAGATACGACCGCTCCGGGACGTCCTTCGAGACGCAAGCAGAGTCGCCGCTGGTGCTACTACTAGTAGCACGAGTACTAGCTCAGCCGCGCAGAAACGATTGCCGCCGCCCAAGCGACTCGCCCAGGCCGGAAGAAATGTAGCTTCGACGCCGCATCGCGTATCCGCCGTTACTAAACAGCCGGCGCATGGCGGAGGAGGCGCGAAATTGCGGCGGCACCCAGCGGAGGGAAAGGGCAACTTTAACGATCCTAGAAATGGGCGGAGACCTAGATCATCAGTGGCTGAAGGCCAATCTGGTGGAAGAATCGTCGCGGGATCCTTGGGGCTTCACCCTAAAGCAGACGACAATGATTCCAACTTGAAGCCCATGCAAGACTCCGAGGCATCATCTTCAGACGACGACCTGATTGACCTGGTTGACTCCGAGGAGATCTCATTGCAAGGCAGTGATTGTCCTGCGATGAGTCATGGTCAACCGCTTCAACGACGTCAACGGAAGTGCAACCTGAAGGCCCTAGTAGTACTAGCAGCCGGACCAGCGCCTGTGAAGCACCAGGTAATATTTTGAGAGCTGATTCTTTTCTGGCGCCAGAATCATGGACTACTTGCCACAGCTTTGTTCAACACTAGTAGTAGTACTATCCACAGGTAGACTCATGCGGCCTAGGGCACAGCATTGGTACTAATGTTACTTGGACGTTCTCGTGAAAAACATGATTCACCTTCACCTCCTCCATGAAAGTACTTTCCTGCTCTCGCGCCCTCCTTCTTCGTTTGTCCTCCTTTCTTCCTCGCCCAACGTTCTGCCGCCGGTTCACCCTTCTTCCCTAGTAGTGCTTCCTAGTAGGTTCGCTTCATGATCTATCATACGAAGAAATTAGCCATTGTTCTGCGCATCCTGATTCCAGCAAGACAATCTTTGCGGTGAAAACCTACTTATTCATCTTTGAACAAGTATCTTTGGTGCCCACACCTGCTTCCCTTTGTCTCCTGCTTCCTGTAGGATCATCCACTTTCCTCCGTAAAATTCAACACGTCTCGTGCAGCCCTTCCTTATGCCATCCTCCCTAAGCTTTGAATAAGAAACGAAATGCTTGCACGTGTATTGGAGATCTCTCCTGTTATTTTTTCCCGCCCTCGTACGTAAAACGGCGAGAAAATGTGACGCATTCAAGACCTGTTCATTTCATCCTTCCATCGTTTCTCCTGTCCCCTGTGCCGTTGTCACCAGGCAGGCGAGGCAGAGAGTATTTTTGGATCAGCACAGAAACGTGATTATCTTTCCTGACGACTTAATTCCTGTTCTCTCTGCCATTACCTGGTAGTTCAAGCTGATAGTATTTCCCTGCCACTGCCAACATTTGCTTTTCTTTCTTGCCATTTCTGGTCCCTCTCCCCTGTGCCGTTACCCGACAGTTGAAGCGGAAAGGGAGGCAGGACGAATACAAGACACGTCCGCAAGAAGTCGCAAAGGCAGAAATGCAACAAGTCAACGAAGATTGGGTCAAAGAGTGGAGCAACCATTATGTCATGCGAGCTCGGAATGGCATGGAATTCGACACGAAGAAGGTGCAAGCTCTCTTGAAGACTGGTGCATACTGCAACAAAAGGCAGCGGTTAGGCCAGGCTAGGTGTGGAAAGGAGGAGGAGAGGCGGGAGGGGGAGTGGGAGAAGGAGTGCAAGTCACAGCAGCAAGACATGGTTGCAGATTTGAAGGGCGAGGAAGTTCAGAGGCCGGAAAGTAGCGAAGAGTCTCTTTCGCAGCGAGAGAGGAGGAGATATACAGAGTTGGGCGAACCCGAAGTGTGCTCCAGCTATCAAAAGGACTGTGGAAGGAAGGGCAGTGGTGGGTCCTTAGCGGGTGTTGGGACGAGCAGTGGCAGTGGTAATGGCGGTGGCGGCGGCAGTGGTAGTGACAGTGGCAGTGGTGGTGGCAGTGGTAGTGACAGTGTCTGTGGTGGTGGCAGTGGCAGTGGCAGTGCTGGTGGTGGCAGTGGCATTGGCGGTATTGGTAATGGTAGTGGTGGTGGCGATGTTGGTGGAAACTGCACGAGGCTAATCGAGAGCTTCCCAAGGGTTACGCCGAAGGAATTTCATGCAGCCCTGGTTGTGGACCAAACACTTTACACTGACAAAGGGGCTGTTGGGAAGACGGAAGAAGCAGATGTAGCAATGAAGGATTTGAGTAAGGAAGGAGGAGATGGGGCCCGAGAGTGGGAAGGTACTGGAGCAGAGGAGAGTGGAGGGGCAGGAGAGAGGGAAGCGGGTGAAACAGGGAGGAGAGGAGGGGATTCGGCAAAAGGAGCGGAAATGGGTGGTGCAGGAATGCAAGTAGGGACTGAGGCAAGGGTAGGAAATGAAAATGGACCCGGAAATAAGGAAGTGGCTGTTGCAAGGGCGAGGGAAGGAGACGGAGCAGGAGAGAAGGGAGCCACAGCATGTGGTGGCTCGAACACAAGCACTGCCGGAAATGGGAGCGGGGGTACTGAGAAGGCTGCCAGTTCTGCCAACGCTGTCAATGAAAATGCAAATCAGGCAAAAGTGTATGCAGGCAAGATGGCTGTTGAGGCGGCAGGAGAGGATGCTATTGGTGGGAGAAACACTCATGGTGATCACTGCTTTTCTTCTACTAGAGAACTGGGTTCTGTTTGTACTGAAAACGGGATGAAGCCGACAGGGACAGGGAATGAGCAAGTGGGGAGAGAGAGCGCAGTTGTGCTATTCTTTGACCTTAACTGCATGCCTCCTGGGAGTTGTGGTGATGCAGATACTGAGGGTGATGGGTATAGTGGTGGCAATGGTGGATATGGGGGTGGTGGCAGTAGTGGTCGTGATGGTGATGGTGATGGCTGTTTTGCCTTGCATGAGGTGTTGGAAGCACAGAAACCGGTCCGGGAGCAGCCACAGCCGCAGCAGCAGCAGCAGCAGCAGCAGCAGCAGCAGCCACAGCAG